CTGCTCATCTGAGCCTATGGGAGTGAGTGATGCTCCAGCATCCAATCGCCTTTCAGGAGGGGGGTGGGATGTTGGAGGGGAGCGCAGTTGAAGCTTTAGTTCAGGTCTGCCTCCAGGAGAGAGTGGGGGGGAGCTCAGAGCCGGCCCAGGGAAAGACAGGGCTATTTTTGTAGAAAAAGCCCAGCAGGAACTCATTAGCATAATAGGCCAGACCCAACAGCAGGAACTCATTAGCATATTGGGCCACACCCCTGACAGCACAGCTCATTAGTATATTAGGCCGCACCCCCATGTTACCAGAAGTGTGGTCATCCAGCCACACCCACGTTTTGCTTGTTATTCTGTTTACCTTGTTTGTTGTCAAAACCCAGGGCTTTTTTGTAGCAGGAACTCCTTTGCATGTTAGGCCACACACCCCTAATGTAGCCAATCCTAATGAGTTTCTGCTGTTGGGTGTGGCCTATTATGCTAATGTGTTCCTGCTGGGTGTGGCCAACTTGGAAGCCAGCCGGAACTCCGTTCCTGTGCGTTCCTGCCCAAAAATAGCCCTGCTCTTGGGAATAGGGCAGGCTGGGGTGGGGGGGATCCTGTGCATGAGAAAGGATCCAACCTGGTGGCTAGTCTAGGGTTGCCAGGTCTGATCGTCACACCAGCAAGGGAGGGACTTTCCCAGAGTGAGGAGGGGTGTCGCAACATGCATACATAAACAAGAAGTGGGGTAGGAACATCAGGGATGTTTGGTTTTGGGGCAAAACTGTTGGGAAAATAGGCAAAAATACTTACATACTTGGATATTCAGAGTTTGCAATGGATCTTTGCTTCACTGGAGAGGAGGCATTTCTTTCTGTTTAAAATCTTTATTTCTAAGGGTAGGGTGCACAGGAAACCTACAAAATAACAAAGGCTACATTTCTACAGCTACAAAACAGGCAGGCCACACGGTCTCTCAACAACTGTAATGGAGCTTCTCTTTCTTCTTGACCCCTAGAAGGAAATCACCTGATTACATTAACCAATGATTGCTAGTAAACAGACTGAGATTTTCCTGAGCTATCTTCCCATTGGCCCTGAGCCAAGTCTCCCTTCCAGGTCAGTCTAAACGATAGTACACAAGGTAAAGCCGATGAACCCTATAATGACTGGATGAGACCTTGCAACCCACACATATTCCCAACAAAAACTGTATGGTAGAATTCACTTCAAATCATAAGAGTTTTGCCCCAAAACCAGAGCGTCTCCCCCTGATGTCCCCAATGTGCCTACATCACTTCCAGGTTTTGTAGGCATGTCGCAATGATTTCTGGGTTCCTGCTGGTAAGAGGGGGTGATTGCGGGGGTAGAGGAGCGCCCAAAAGCAGGAGACCCCCCCCCCCTCCAGCACTGGGCAGTCTGGCAACTGTTGGCGAGTCACTGAAAGCCTGTTTGCGGCTGAAAGCATCGAAGGAAATTCCGATCCTACCCCAAAGCCAGAAGTCACTTAAATTTCTGCACCTCGGCCAGGTTTCCCCTCTGACAACCTGGGAGACCTGTGCTGTTGATCTGATCCTTGAAAGCAGCCTGTAAATAAATAAATACATCTTCTGATCCTTTATATCCAACTCAGCCTCGGGGGTCTCGGGGTCCTGCTCACTCACTCACCGCAAAGCTTACCTTGTGGCAGCAAATCCATAACCTTCAACCTTGCTCCCTTAAGGACATTAAACTGGATTGTTGCTTGACTGTTTGTAAAATGTTTTATTCTGTGGGATTTTTTTTGTGTGTGCCACCCTGAGCCCGCCTGTGGGGGAGGCTGGCTTAGAAATATAATAAAAGAAATAAAGAAACATCTGGTAACTGGGGAAAGTTCACAGGTTAAAACTAATCTGGTGTGTGTGTGTGTGTGTGTGTGTCCCCCCCGATCATAGGAGGCTGGGTGAATCCCTTCAGTTGGCAGAAAAGGCCTGTCCCAGTGTTCCCCCTAAGCTGAGTTAGTGTGAGCCAGCTCACAGTTTTTTAGCCTCTGGCTCACACATTCTTGTCTTAGGAAGGATGGCCCCAGAGCAAACTAAATTTATGCAGTAGCCCAATCACTCACTCACAATTTTAATTCCAGTAGCTCATAAAGTAGGATTTTTGCTCACGGGACTCCACACGGCTTAGAGGGAGCATTTGTAGCAATACCCTATTCCTGTCTTACAGACAGATGGAACAATTGAGCCCCCATCCTGTTACCGAGGGTCCCTGGACCCCAGGAGCAGCAGAAAGGGGGGGGGAGGCGGGGGTGTCCCAGTCCACCAGTTTCACTCAATTGTTAATACTTTGGATGCCACCTCTGATATCTCTATAAGGGGACTTTTCTGAGGGATTCAAAAGCAGCAACAGGTTAAGAAAGAGGGGGATATCTTTAAAAGGCAACATTTCTAAAAGTGTCTTCCAGTTAGGTTCGGTGGATTGCGTGACACCGACGAAAGAAGTGGGGGGAGAAAACCACATTGACACGAAGGTGCTGTGCTTGTCAAGCGATACGCAGATGAAGCCGGGCTGAGCTGGCGGTCACCCGAGATTTATGCCCTCTCCAGACAAGTTTCATCCATTTCTTCAGACTTGATTTCGGCAGATATGGTGTATGGCCTGTGGGAAGGAAGGAAGGGAGTCACGGCAGATGAAACAGCCCGTGGCTGTTAAAATCAGAGCCTCGTGCGTGCGTGTCTTCTGCTTAAACTGGGCAAACTTATCTTGATCAGTGCACAGAACCACAAGGTCGGATGGAGTCGTAGCCACAGGGGTTGGCGGGGATGCAGGGGAAAGGGGGTGTGGGAAATCACCCTGCCACTCTCTTCTCTCAGGGTAGCTCCATTAACAGGAGAGGGAGAAGGGAACGGTTTTGCCTCAAGCTGCCAGGTGTCCTGGAGACTCATGCCTTTACAGGGCTCTTTTTGTAGAAAAAGCCCAGCAGGAACTCATTAGCATAATAGGTCACACCCAACCGCAGAAACTCATTAGCCTATTAGGCCACACCCCTGACAGCACAGCTCGTTAGCACATTAGGCCGCACCCCCATGTTGCCAGAAGTGTGCTCATCCAGCCACACCCACCTTTTGCTTCTTATTCTGTTTACCTTGTCTGTTGTCAAAACCCAGGGCCTTTTTTTGTAGCAGGGACTCCTTTGCATGTTAGGCCACACACCCCTAAAGTAGCCAATCCGAATGAGTTTCTGCTGTTGGGTGTGGCCTGTTGTGCTAATGAGCCCCTGCTGGGCGTGGCCAACTCGGGAGCCAGCCGGAACTCCGTTCCTGTGCGTTCCTGCCCAAAAATAGCCCTGCCTTTGAATGATTGTAAACTTATATTGTTGGGATTCCATATGCCATGCGTTAGTAAATTCAAATAAATCAGTAAACAGTAAATATTGTACACATTGTTACTTGTATGTCTCCTGAATTAGCAGGATACATCTCCCCCCCCCGGCAGCCCTTGTCCCCTGATGCCACTAAGATTGTTGGGCATATCATGAGCGCTGAAAGAATCTGTTTCATTGAAGTGGGAAGAATGTTGTGTGTTGATTCACGGATTAGAATTGTGTAAGTATTTATAACATTACGGTAGGCATTATGGAGGTTTTCATGCAAGACTCAGTGATAACGTAAGATGGCTGATCAATGTAGTTGTTTTTCTCCTCTCTTTTCAGTGATGTGCAAACTAATGCTATTCGCTCAGCCCACTTAGAAAAAGCTGTTATGTGAAATGGTATTATATGCAATTCCCGTTGTTGGTATGCGTATATTTTGATAATGGGACGAAGAAATACGATTCACTACAGAATAGTAGTTTAAATATAGTTTCATAATATAACATCGCGGTTGTTTTTGTTGTTGTTTGCCACTCAGTGGGCCAGCAGGGAGGAAATGGGAGGAGCAGTAACATCGCTTCTGGCATGACCCGGAAGTGACATCACTGTGTGAGGCCAGCACTCTAGCATTCACCCAAACTCTATGGTTAAATGATGTCACTGGAGATCTCCCGCCCACTGCTGGTAAGTCTCCCACTGGAAACCCTGTTTTTTCCCCTCTCCCTCCTGATTGCAGATCCCCTGTGGCCATTACCTCCAGGGCTCTACTGGTAACAGGAGCTCCTTTGCATATTAGGCCACACACCCCTAGTGCAGCCAATCCTCCAAGAGCTTACAGTAGCCCCAGTAAGAAGAGCTCACAGGAGTCCCGTAATCCCAGAATCAAATTTCCGGGAATCAGAAACGACCTCCGGGGAACAAATTTAGAGTCCAGTGGCACCTTTAAGACCAACAAAGTTTTATTCAAGGTATGAGCTTCAGTGTGCATGCACGCTTTTTCAGACACCCTGGAATGGAAGGGAAGGTTCCAATTTATAGGCAGGGGCTGAGCAGCAGATTAACATGTAACAGGATGAAGATGTGCAAAGACAAAACAAGATAACATGCTAAGGTTATACGGTCAACAGTTGTCAAGCAATAAATATGTCAAAATAGCAGATAAATGTGTAAAGGTATCCTTTCTCATTGAGGGAAGCAAACTGACATATGTATTGCTTGACAACTGTTGACCTTATAACCTTAGCTTGTCATCTTTGTTTTGTCTTTGCACATCTTCATCATGTTATGTGTAAATTGGCTGTCTATAAGAGTGAACCTTACCTTCCATTCCGGTGTATTTGGAAAAGTGTGCCTGCACACGAAAGCTCATCCCTTGAATAAACCTTTGCTGGTCTTAAAGGGGCCACCGGTCTCTCAATTTGTTCTACTGCGTCAGCCCGACACAGCTGACCACCTGGAACTGGCTTCCGGGGAGGGAAAGATGGGAGGTTCTGTGATCCCTGCAGAACGATCCCGGATCTTTTCCCCGTTCCAGCCACTGACACGGCATCATTGTGTCTTGCAGTCCTCACACTATGTGCCTCTTCCAAAGTATCACCAGAGGGTCGTACTGTCTTTTAAAAAAGAGACCCCACCAGAGCCCTGACAAACAGCCCTGCCCTGAAAGAAGAAATACCTGGATTTCTCCATGGAGTTTTTCTTCTGCATGAGCTTGAGACCACGCGGCCGGCAGCAGGCCGACTTGCAGTCAATGACCTGGTAAATGATGGGGTTGTACATGGCTGCTGATTTGGCCAGCAGGGTCGGTATCACCGAGACTTTGATGGGGACCGAGTTGGGTCTTCCGAACGCAGACCACACCGACACCACGGCGTAGGGGATCCAGGCAATGAGAAATCCTGCACAGATCAACATCGCCACCTAGTGGGCGGAAATATTAAAACACAGAAGTCAAAAACTTTCTGTTGCCTCGTGTAATGCCATATTGCATATTACCCCTAGCACAGATGTTGTCATATCCAGGGCCGGCTCACTCACTAGGCGAACTAGGCGATCGCCTAGAGTGGGGTGGCCCTTAGGGGCACCAAACTGCACCCGGCCCCGTACTCTGGGAGTTTCTTGATTATTTGTGTTTTTCATTCTTCCTAAAATGCATTTATTTTTGAAAATTGGTGGGCGCACGGCGGTGGGGGGGGGACCATAAGAGATCCTCATCTTGGGTGCAAAATAATCTGGAGCCGGCCCTGGTTATATCAGAGGTAGGATTATTCCAAAGTTTACAAGACAGGATAATTAATAAATCACAGGTGTTCTTTCTAAACACAGTGAAAACCGACGCTGTAATCGAGGTAACTTTTTGATATCTGCTGTCTTCATGTGGTGGTGGAAAGTATTGTCTAGTCGCTGCTGACTTACGGCTACCCCTGGTGGGGTTTTCAAGGCCAGAGATGAACAGAGGTGGTTTCCCCCACCCCTGGGTTTGATTCCCCACCCCTCCATGTGCAGCTGCTGGCATGACCTTGGGTCAGTCACAAGTTCTCTCAGAGCAGTTCTCGAGAGAGAGAGCTCTCTCAGCCCCACCTACCTCACAGGATGTCTGTTGTGGGGAGGGGAAAGGGAATGTACGCCACTCTGAGACTCCATCGGGTAGTGAAGGGTAGGGTGTAAGTCCAGTATCTTCTTCTTCTTCTTCTTCTTCCATTGTCTGCTTTGTGTAGCAACCCTGGGCTTCCTTCGTGGTCTCCCATCCAAATGCTAACCAGGGCCGACCCTGCTCAGCTTCCAAGATCTGACCACATCAGGCTAGCCTGGGCCGTCCAGGGCAGGGCACTGTCTTTATAGCTATCGCATTTTTATCTCACTCGTCATTTCTCTTTCCCCCGTTTTATGTTTCACAACAGCCCTATAAGGTAGGTCAGGCTGAGAAGGAGTGATTGACCCAAGTCCACCCAGTTAAATTTCGTTACAAGAGTGCAGATCTGTTAGCTGGTCCCACAGATCTTCGCCCAACACTCGCTGCTTCACCACACGGCAGTGTCCCCTCCAAACTGTGGGCGTGAGCGGCCGCTCATTAACACAGGAGCCGTGTGGGGTCCTGCACTGCCCATTGCCCACGTCAAGATGGCAAAGATGCCAAGAAATCACCGTGACGTAAGGCTTATACAAACACTCAATAAAAAATACGTTAAAACATTCTGTATTGTTTGGTGTAGTGGTTAGGAGCGCGGACTCTAATCTGGGAGAACCGGGTCTGATTCCCCACTCCTCCACATGCAGCTGCTGGTGTGACTTTGGGTCAGTCACAAGTTCTCTCAGAGCTGTTCTCTCAGGAGCATTCCTCAAAAGAGCTCTCTCACCCCCCCACCTCCCTCTCTCAGCCCTACCTACCTATCTGTTGCAGGGAAGGGAAAGGAGATTGTAAGCCGCTCTGAGACTCCTTCAGGTAGCAAAGGGCGGGGTATAAATCCAATGTCCTCCTCCTCCTCCTCCTTCCATTAACAGTTTAACATATTCTTTATTGCGTGTTTATATAAGCCTTATATCACGGCTCTTTGTTTGCATATTTGCCATCTACACACTGTGATCCCTTTTCTACTTTGCATTTTAAGATTACAGCAGTTCAGTTCTGCTCAGGATGTGAACTGCTGTGCCCGGGAGGGGGGGGGCAGGATTAGAGGGAACACTGCCACGCTGCCTTTTCAAACTTTTTTTTTTTGCCATCAAGTCACAGCTGGCTCACGGCGACCCCGCAGGGTTTTCAAGTCAAGAGACGTTCAGAGGGGGTTTGCCATCGCCTACCCCTGCGTAGCAACGTTGGGCCTCCTCGGTGGTCTCCCATCCAAATACTTAGCAATGTTGACCCTGCTTAGCTTCTGAGATCTGATGAGACCAGGTTAGTCTGGGCTGTCCAGGTCAGGGCAAAGTTATTATTAAACTCTTTTAGACAATAAGAGAGCCAGTTTGGTGTAGTGGTTAAGTGTGTGGACTCTAATCTGGGAGAACCGGGTTTGATTCCCCACTCCTCCACTCGCACCTGCTAGTGTGACCTTGGGCCAGCCACAAGCTCTGGCACAGCTGTCCTTGAAAAAGAGCAGTTTGTGTCAGAGTTCTCTCAGCCCCACCCACCTCACAGGGTGTCTGTTGTGGGGAGGGGGAGGGAAAGGAGTTTGTAAGCCGCTCTGAGACTCCTTTGGGTAGTGAAGGGCGGGGTATAAATCCAATCTCTTCTCTTCTTCTAATCTGGGGGGACCGGGTTTGATTCCACACTCCTCCACTTGCACCTGCTGGATGACCTTGGGCAAGCCATAGTTCTGATAAGAGCTGTTCTTGAAAAAGAGCAGTTTGTGTCAGAGCTCTCTCAGCCCCACCCACCTCACAGGGTGTCTGTTGTGGGGAGGGGAAGGGAAAGGAGCTTGTAAGCTGCTCTGAGACTCCAAGTGAAGGGCGGGGTATAAATCCAATCTCTTCGTCTTCTTCTTCTTCTTCAAGCTTACTTCACACAAATATCTAAATATTCTGCTGGGAGAAAGGGCTTTCCCCTGACTTCA